TGGCAACATTAGACAGAGTATGAATATCTGCAATTTACCTCTTACGCAGACGGGACATAGTTTCGCGATATGTCAACACACATTGGATTTTTTCCAAAACCCCGTTTTTCTCTGCCTTTTTTCACTATTAAATAGTATTTTAATCGTAGTTTTTCGTCTCCATCATGTATGTGTGAATATATATATTGATAAAATAGGAAAGTGCAGTTAGGTTGATGATCTTTATTATTCTTTAGTATTTATGTTTTTATTTTTTTTAAATGTGCTCGATACGGAAGTAGAGCTTAAAATTATAATTATTTTTTTTAACATATAATTAACATTTCTACTTTCATCAAAGCAGAAACCCCTTGATAATGGAAAACAACGCCCAGATTACACCTCTATTTCAAAACTATAAATGATTAAAACTGTAAAACACTTCTTTGGTAAGTTATTCCAAACATCGCTTGAGGATGAAACTGTCATCCAACAGTTCAGATTTTATATTAGAATTAAAGTTGAATATGGGTGACCAGTTTCGAAACATAGCAATTTCTCTGACGTGATAGAATCATATTTAAAAAAAAATAATTATATATATATATATATATATATATATATATATATATATATATATATACCGGACTAGGAGATAGACAGATCTGAATTCAAACGTGAGGCGAATCATTTGTGCACCTTGCTGTATATACTATGTGCACCAAGTCTCCGTATTCAGCTTTTCCAAAAGGGTGCTTGATTCTGCACAAAGCTTCAACACTATAATGAAATCATTTGTGTGTATGAATTTCTGAATATTAGAGATTGTTGTAGTGTCCTCTCTCTAATGAGTCTATTGTGGACTCTTCCACTTACTATAAAGTTAGTGGGAAAGTAAGTCTCTGGATATAGACTGAACGCTGGTTAACCGACACACACTTCTAAGTCGTGTAACACACTTCTGTTATATTTACTATTCAATACACTATCTATCTGAAACTTCTTGTTATTTCTCAAACATTACTTGGTCACGTCACTATCTATCTATTTCATTACGTTCAATTATCTATCTATCTATCTATCTATCTATCTATCTATCTATCTCATTCCGTTCAAGTATCTATCTATCTATCTATCTATCTATCTATCTATCTATCTATCTATCTATCTCATTCCGTTCAAGTATCTATCTATCTATCTATCTATCTATCGTGATTTCATCCCTCTACTCAGGTTATTATGGACTCTTCCAATTACTATAAAGTAGTAGGAAAGTAAGCCTCGGTGGGAACTCTTCTGTTGTATTTACTGCTCAATACACTATTTATCTGCAACCTCTTGTTTTGTTATTTCTTAAACATTTACTTGGTTACAACAGAGTTATTTATACATACAAGACACAAACATGGCTGGGCAAGTTTCCCCTTTTTCCACTTTCCTTAATCCCCTAGTGTTCTAACGAGTTATGTCAGGGATGCGTAAAAATGACAGATTTCACAGAGTTGATTCTAATGCCCAAGCACTTTTTTCAACAGACGTTTCTTCATTTGTTGTCCCAAGAAACGTTGTTAATCCTATTCCCAATGAAGGCTGTTGTAAATTGGATATGATGCTTGTGGACGCTCAGTGAGGCACTCATATTCATGTTAATGCAAGTAAGGAATACATACCTTTAGGCGAATATAGACCACTTAATATTAACACTCTCTATTTATCTTTTTAGCTGTCTCTGAATGTTTATCTCACCTTTTTTAGCTTATATTCCCCAAAATGACTTAAGAAAACACCAGAAAATTCGATAAATGATATGCTTCCCAACCGCAAATATATATATATATATATATATATATATATATATATATATATATATATATATATATATATATATATATATATATATATATGTGGCACCAGGCATAATTAGAAAACTGAAAAGAGATATTCATAAATATATGATTAGTTTTTTCGGTTTGTTAACCATTTGATAATTATTTAGAGCTGAAAAATATTTCGTGGTTAGGAATAATTCTTTCTTTACATTCAGGCGATCTGGGAGAAAGAAAGAAAAGAAGAGGAAGAAGAAAGAAAGAAAAGAAAAGGAAGGAAAGAAAGGAGAAAAATAAATAATACGAAACCAGGTCGTAAGCGAAAACACACACGCTCGACTGGCACATATCAGATGTCAAAAATATCAGGTCAAGCACCGACCTACTTCCGTGTCCGCGGAGGATGGGAGTTTGTTATCAATTTGGTTGAAGAAATAAAATTTTAGAGACAATGGAAAAAATATGATAGGTAACAGATGGGGAAGTTTATCTAAGGATATACAGACAATCCATTAATACGAGAACCAGAATTGAAAATACAGTCACACAGGATGATGATTAGAAAATGCTTTTTTGAGATAATTAAGATTTTGTTGTCAAGCTCCGAGCGAAGGGAAAAAGTGAAATATTTTATTAGTTCACGTTAACGCCCCCAGGGTGATGTCGCTTTTTGAGATAATACAGATTTTTATTATCGGCCGGGGAGAATGAATATTTTGTTGCGTTCAGAGAAACGCCGACAGGTCTAGGAAATTCTTTTCTTAGATCGTATCCAATTAGCGGTAGGCTGTTTGACAGATACCGCGTGTGAAGGAAGCCGAGGGCGTCATTTCGGTCACATACGAAAGGGACAGTTTAAGTTTTTGTTTTTTTGAGCAAGGTGTCCCCCCCCCAGAACAAAGCCACGGATTGTCCACGCCCGATTAAAGACGTCACGAAGGAAGGAGGAAAGATACCGACCAGAGTTTCATTGGCCGAAGGCGGTCACATGATACATGAGGGAGGAGGAGAGACACCCGACCAGGACCCCATTGGTCGAGAGCGGTCACCTGACATACGAAGGACCAGGGGAAGCGGGCATACGCCCCCCCCGAGGCACAGTACTGAAGTAGGAGTGAAAGTAAGTTACCGAAAATGGAAAATCCCTAATCAGAAATAATACGTCTTTAGAATTATCAAGAAAACCCTGGCGCCGACAGACCCACCCCAGTTTTTGACTGCCTCAATAAAAGCGGGACCCCAACCGACAGAAATCAGTTGGAGTTGCAGCGCGGAAGAGAAGAGTTAGTTGCAGCGCGGACGGCGGGCCCTGTTCATTAGTCCCCTTTGCGGCAAGAAAGGCCGGTTCGTTTGGCCTAAGAAGAGAAATTCGTCCAACCCAAGTCGAAGTGAATAAATTCGTCCAACCCAAGCCGAAGTGAATAAGATCGTCCAAGAGAAGCCGAAGTGAAGCAGCCCGTTTGGCCTAAGTGGAGAAGTTGGAATCAAACCGAAGTGAAGAAATTCGTCCAACCCAAGCCGAAGTGAATAAGCTCGTCCAACCGAAGCCGAAGAGAAGAAGTTAATTCGCGCACTGACAGCGGAGATGAGCGAACAATACTTCAGACTCTGAAGAGAAGAGTTTTTAGTTGCAGCCACGGACGGCGAGAGAAATCAGCCGTGAACGACAGGTAGAGATCAGCGCCCAGTGTTGAAACCAAACCACACCCCGAAATGCAAATTTCTAGAGAGCAAGCAACTCGAAGCCTTAAAGTTGTATGGTAGAAGCTTGGTGCCACGGTCCACAGAACGGGTCGGGAGGTAGGAATAATCTTGTGTAACGAACAATTAGTTATAAAAAAGTTGTTACCTTTTTCTTCAATATTTTTTGACCTTGTGAGTTTTATTTATCTTGTGTGTTATCACCCCGTTGGACTCAAGCTTGCATACGGCCCAATCCCTGTTTGATCCCGTCTGTCTAAGATCTAATCACAGCGTGGGTAGACAGACCGGAGATCAGTGTAGTTACCCTGGTAACCAGGCGTTGGAAGCGGGTTGGGAACAACGAGGCTGGTATTCATCTAGCCAAAGGGTTAGAACGTCACACTTGGAGCAGCGAGGAGCGAACAGCTGACGCCGCGGCAAAGACGTCACAACTGGTGTCGTGATCATAGGATCAGAACGCCGGACCACGCCACGTCACAGCTGGCGTCGCGAAAGGGATCGAACGACACAGTCAACGCTGCGACCAGGAGGGACGACGTCACAATATATATAATGCTACTGTCTGTGATACCTGAAATTACATTTATACATTATCTTTGACATTCAGATACAAAGAGAAAAATAAAGAAAAAAAGCCAAGAGAAAGTTTATGTTGACAAGAAAATGGTGAAAAGTAATCACATTTAACACATACGCGCACAGTCAAATGCACCTGCACAGACATACATAGGCAGGCGCGTGCACACACACAAACATATTAAGAGAAAAACATCAAGTAACACCAATAATAAAAGCACGCTATCTAAGCACATAGACTGATTGCATCATCAAATTATTTTAAAAAATTAGTTGGAGATTCGTCTCCAGTTGTGATGGTCGAACTCTCTGCCTTTGGGTGGAGAGGAACCGAGACGAGGCTATACTGAAGGGCAGAATCTCATCTGGGGTGGTAGACAGCTACCCAATCCCATGTATACGGTGTCTACGTGGAAATTTTGTCCGATTCTACGGGCTCGGTTTTGTCCCATTTAAAAATGGTCTTGTGCCACATCCTGTCTCGCGAGAAAGTACGGTAAATAACTTTGCTTCGGCAATTACTAGCCTACCACCTGGTTCTCTTTATTTTAGTAGTGTATTCTCTTTTACACTAACCCCGTCTTCCTTCATTTACGCGGCTGTTGCTGTTCATTCACTCGAGTATCACTATTGTCTGTTACCTCTTGAGGTAAACAATTAGGAAAGAGGGTTTGGCAATTTTTACACTCACAGGACATTGAAGTTAAAAACGACTGAGAGCATAACTTGCCTAAAGAGCTTGTGTAAATGGTTTACAGAACAGGAATTAGAAAAAATTGAAAAAAAGACAATCTTTACTTATTGCTATATAGACAGTAAGTTGTGGAGAGTCATGATCCTCAATATCCTGCATGGACGCGTAAGAAGAAAAAGAAGACGAAGGAGTATCTATCTATCTATCTATCTATTATGTGA